GGGATATAATTGAGGCCGGCTAGATCAGTCATGATCGCAGCCGTTACAAGTAAAAGTAAGTACAAGTTGTACGCCTCCTGCAAAAATTGGTAGCTCGTGTCTTATGGCCACAGTTGACTATATAAAAGATATGTATAACCTATCGTAACCCAAATGTTCTTAAATTTGACTCAATTTCACACATAGTTCTGACACCCTAGCACACGTCATCTACGGCCATAGTTTTAACTCCACGTCACGTTGGAGCGTTCGCAGGCATCTTTCAGAATCATATGTCTTCGTGATACGTGTTAGTATAATGCGAGATGGGTTCTTAGACAAATAAAAAGTGCTCGCATAATAGTCCGCCTCGACTGCTTCGATTCGCACCGTAGCAATGCAGTTAACGTAATTAAAAGGGATCTGGCTCTTTAATAACTCTTCGAATTGATAACCTTCTCTGAGATTGTCAGGAAATATTTTTCTGCTTGTTGCGCTCCATTACTGGAAAGTCGGCTGTTTTTTCCTTGCTAAATAAGTGTTACTCTGCAATCGCCCTCTCTCTAGGGCGTTGCTGACTTTTGTTGCTAGCTTCCTTACCATGTTATCTGAAAGATCCGCGTTGCCTATGTCCATTTTCCGTTTGAATGCAACTGTGATACTTTCGATCACGTAGGCATGTCTCTGCAAGCTTAAGGAACAATATTTCATTTTTTCAGGTGGCTGAAGAGATGTCCGAGTACTGTGGTAGCATTCCAGGCGATCTTGAGGACTTTGCCGGAGTTGATGTTATAGAAGAATTGCCGGAAGAACTGAAGAACCATATTCGACTGTTAAAAGACGTCATGAAAAACTACCGCAGCGGTCCTCTCCCGAAAACGGTTAAAATGTTACCTCACCTGCCGGGATATGAAAGCCTACTAGAGATGCTCTCACCGCTGGATTGGAGTGTTCATGCATACCCTCGTATGGTGAAGATTTTTGCTTCTAAGGGCAACGACCCAGCCTTACAGTAAGTCCATCTTCTAGGGAAAAGTACCTTGTTTTTTCATTTTCATTTGTTTTCACTGCTTATCGTGGCTTTCAGCATTATATCAACCAGACTTACATGACATAATTGTTGTAACGGTAGCCAAGGCCGAGATGTCACCGCCTAGTTACGTCTTGTGCGAGTCCCCCAAGAAAGAACACGACAAGAAGAGCGCAACAGCGGAAGTCTTTGAGTGTAATAGGTACAACATATTTAGAGCAACAAACGCGTGTAAACTATGTCCATTGGGCCAATCAGCTTCAATCCTGGCGTGTGTAGCGACACGATTGGCTTGTGACTCAACGACTGGATGCAACTTAACATTTAATTTATTGATTGATTGACGGCCAGTATGCGTTCGCCCGTGTAGGCCGACCGAAAGCCTGCCTTAAGAGCGGCTCGCTGCCTGTATGCTAGCTGCCTGCTAGCTGGCACCAAACACTCCCCTCTTTGAGATAAATCGTAAGATTTGAGTTGCGGGTTCACTTGTGACGGAACTGGTTGCATTCTTTTTCCGCCCTGGTTGCCTAGAAGCTGGAGTTCGTGCCTTTTTAGCACTGG